TTAGGATTCAGGGTTTAGGGTCTGAGAGTTTCTCAGCAAGTGGGGGTCCGTTGGAAAACTCGGAAGGAGTCAGCTCTGCGGTTTCTAGGGAGAAATTAGAGAAACTACGGCATGGGTTTGTTAGGCACACCGAGCCCAATTGAAGAACGTTAGACGGGTCTTTTCGGTCTGGGGGTCTCCTTAGGATCTCACGTAGAAGGTTGGAGAACAACTAGCAACAACTGTGCCCCATACATCAGCAAAGATTCCTTCCTGAAGTCTATAGTCCCTCTTAAGTANNAGATAGAATACGGCTTTGGGTACATGATAATAAGATCCCCACGTACCCCCAAATTCTATCTACTTAAGGGGGACTATAGTTTTTGCCAACCCTCCTTTCTTAGGCCCACATGCCGCCCTACACTTGTCCCAACCTCGACCTGTGTGGCATAAGAAGGCCTTGGAGGAAATCCTTCAATTTAAACCTATGTGAGGGGGCTATATAAGGGACTATATAGGGTTCCTATTATAGGGCTTATTAAGGGGGATACTAGGAGTTTAGATTAAAGCTCATGTAACCCAAGCCCCAAGCTCTAAGCCACAAACCCCAGCACCCCAAACTTTAAAATGCCTTCAACCCTTGTGACAAGCCTTGGCAGAGCTCCCCAGTACCCGAAACCCAGGTGACGAGGACTCAAAGGAACTCCTTAAGCTGAGAACCCCAACATCTTAAACCTCAAGCGCAATAAACTCCACACTCTTAACCTCAAACACCCCGTTGGACCCTAAGGTTGGATAGCCGTATGTGTGGAGTCCTTGAAAAGGCCAAAAGTAAGCATAGAGGGTGTATGTATGAGTTATAGAGTGATGTCAATTCTGGCTTCCTAGACCCTAACACCCAAACACCTAGACCCTTAGCCCTACATACCTAAACCCTCAGCCCTAGATCCCTAAACCCTACATCCCTCAATCCTTAATTCTCAAATGAGCCAGCGTCTAAAAAATGGTAGCCTCTTGTGGCAGTACTGCAGGATGAAATGAGTGCAAAGTGCTGAGGAAGCGATACCTCATCCCAAAAGCGATACCCCAAAATTCCCTCAGGAAGCGATACCTAATCCCAAAGGCGATACCCCTTGTCTTATTTCCACCCCAGAGCCTTTGAATTTAGCCTCCCGCTCAAATCCTTTGAGACAAGGCCTTTGTGGAACCCATTATATCCCTTTTAAGGGCCCGAAGGTCCCTTAAACCCTAAACCCCTAAACCCTAAACCCCTAAACCCTAAACCCTAAACCCTAAACCCTAAACCCTAAACCCCAAAGCAAGGCCTTGGTGGAACTCTACCTCAAGGCCGGGGCCGAAGTGCTTCCGAATGACCGCGGCGACACCCCCGAGATCCTTGCAGCCGCGAATCACCATGAGCCTGGGATTTGTGCGGGGTATATGGGGGTTACAAAATGAGTAGGTGAGGGTTTAAAGATAGGGTTCTTCTGTGGTATGTGGGAATAATGGAGAATCAATCAAAAAAAGCAATTGGAAATGAAATGGACACTGGGATCACATAATGGTTTACGTAGGGTTTCCTTGGGTGCCTAAAATGGGGGTCATAGAATTCCCCTATTTGGAAGCGTGGGATGTGTGTTGGGGGGCTTGGGCTTTATGGTAGGTAATGAAGGAAGAACTATGAGCCTGGGACACCTGGGAAGGCCACGAATCCTCGATAAAGGAATGGAAAAGAGAATGGAAGCTACTGGGGTTTAGGCTTTAGGGTTTAGGGGTTCGCCAAAGAGGCATCAAACCCCTTAATTGAGGATTCTACCTCAAATCAAAATGGGGATCCTAGTAATCAATTAGGAGTGCACGGCCCGGTTTGTTTTTATGTTTTGTTTTGTTTCGAGGCGGGGTTAGGGTGTAATGCTTGCTCGCTCGAGGGGTACTAGAATATCATAGCAGCGTGTGAAAACTCATGACACGCTTTAACCCAGCTCGTGATTTTTAGGCGCTCCGCCGGGGAGCGCCTTTTCAGCGCTGGTGAAAAATCTGGGCAGGGGCTTAGGGGTTCAAGGTTCAGGCTCAGGGGATACAGTTTCGGCCAAGGGTCCTTTTCTGTACATTTTGGGGCTGCCCAAAATTCATGACTTATGCATTCGCTACCGCTGGCCTCGAGATGAAATCCCTCATGCAGCCTTTTGAACTCACAGGTCGGTCGCGCCTTCTTTGCAACCTCCCCACCCTGCCTAGACCCCATACCTTACCCCCTTTTGTTTTTCACCCAACTTTCCATCTGGTGACTTCTGTCTTAGCCGTAGAGAGCTGTTAGTTTCGGGAATGTCGGGGTCAGCGTGATCCTGGGCTAATGTTGGGAGGATTATGGGGTTTGGGGCCCGGCTTCAGGGACTCGCTGGTTTGAAGTTTGACGTTTGGGGTGCGAAGCTTCAGGGCTTGGGTTGAGAGCGTAAGTTTTTCAGGGCAAAGAACTGCTAGAGCTACTAATTTGCATTCTGGTCCCCGTTGATGCAGGAGCGCTTGGCTGCATCTCTGGCAATGGTTCCGTTCTGAGCCGCTTGGGCCCCCTGACCCCTAAACCCATCTCCAGATGAATGCCTTGACCTTCTGATAGGAGTTCTTACAGCGAAAGTTCAGTATAGTCCCCACCCTAAACGTAGGATAGCGCGTCAGGAAAACATCATCGAATGTTATCGTTTTAGCTTCAAACCAGGGTCGTGCTTTCATCCCTTGAGCCCCAGGGTCGAAGACCTCTGGGCACAGGGATGAGGGGCGGCAGTCATGCTGCGGAGCTCACACACATACCTTGCGAAAAAGGCTTGTGCACTGAGGGCGAACGTGCATGTTTGCATCAGGTCTCCTTTCAATGTAGCAAGGGTTGATGCTCTCATCATCCAATGCCGAAGCCTAGCCATGCAGTAGCGCAGAAGTATCAGATTTCTACTCGTAAGCTCTTCCTGCGTTAAACCCTAGTCCGCGACCGTGAAGCCCCAGGATGCTTTTGCGTCAGTTACTCAGGTTTAAATTTTTGGGCGTTCAGGGCCCAGGCCTTCTGGGATCATATTTTCAGCCACGTGATGAATGCCTTGAATTAGTATAGGGTTTCGGGTACAGGGTTGTGGGATTTCCCCATATAGGGTTTTGGGTTGAAGTCGTTTGGGTGCCGCCAGGAGGCATTGGCCTTGTAGCAGGGCTTCAAGCCAAACTCGCCGCCATTTCTTTAACTAATAATGCATTTAGCAAAGTCAAGAAAAGTAAGTGCGAGACAAGGGGTTAGGTTTCTCGAAAGTAGGGGCGGGGTATACCAACAACAAGATCTGTAGTTTTTGCCATTTTGGGATGCAGACCCCCCAAATGTGAAACTAAAGCCAGTGCGATGTAAAACCATGCGCAGAGGCTAGTGCTGCGGCTCATTGGGAACCTGGAAGCTGCTGGTGTGGTTCTCAGGAAGTAGGTTTAGGGTTTCGGCGGGGTGGGGGGGGGGGCATTCTGCAATTTTTTAACGGCCGTCCGAGTTAGTAGTTCCGGTAGGAGTGGTCGTCATGCAAGGAAAGTAAGGATTTTCAGGACCGTAAAATAATGACAGAATTTGGACAGGCCGCGCCATCTTGCAAAATCAAAGGTAATAGCAAAGGTAACATTATTTGTTGCTGCCGTAGCAGTCGTGGCAGGCGGAGGAAGTGGAGGCGTAGAGTACGTGGAGGTGGAGGTGGCGGTGGCGGCGGCGGCGGCGGGGTAGCCGTAGCCGTCGCTGTCACACTATCCTCATTGTTCTCCTCGAAGTCCTCGTGTTTGTAGCTAGAATCGCTAGTGTTTTCTGGCTTCGATTTCGGGATAATGAGTTGTAATTAAAGCAGTTATGCAAACCTTTTTATGGAAGGGTAGTTTCCGCGTTTGTATTGACAAGTCGTGGTTCGAACACTGGTAGCGAGCCTGTGGTGAGATTGTTAGACTCCGGCTTAATGGTGAGAGGTTTGGAGGTGCCCTAAACCCTGAACTTTAAACCCGAAACCTTAAACCCGAAACCTTACAAAACCAAAGCCTTAAACGCTAAACCCCAAAGCCCCAACCCTAAACCCTCAACCTAAACCGTAAGCCCTGGCTTAAGGTCAAAAAATTCAGTCCCGACTCATATCTTAAGTGTACGGATTTGTTGGGGGTTGCCAGGTTTCATTCCCATGTGTGTTTTTACTAGTTCTTAGTAGGGAAGAAGAGACTATATTTTATAAGGGTTCTACTGGTACTATAATCCTTGTATTTCCTACATCAAGAACCAGTAAGTTTGTGTTTTCTGATTTTGGCATGGCATGGGCTCGGAGTACTTGGATCGGCATCTTGAGGTGTTTGATGGTAGTTCTATGCTTGCATTTTGAACACACGATGGTGTATCCAGTGCACCTCTCAAGGGGACGAAGGTAGCACGCTGCATTTACTGTGTCCTTTCGCCCCCGCATGTCTGCGGACCCTGACACTCAGCATGGCCTTAACCCAGCTACCTTGCTGTAAGGAAGCGTGGAGAATGTAAACTCCACCGGCGAATGTACCTCTTGAGCAACTTGCATGGCCGGGTGAGGCTTCATATTCTGGAGCCAAAGACCCGACAAGCTTTGCCCGAATCCCAACCCTTAGCTCCACAGCCTCAATTATCAGATTTCAAACGCTCAACTCTACCCATGACTCACGCACAGATCGATAACGCCCTTGTGCAAGCTTCCACGTAATTTTCTCGTAGAAGAATTGGTATTTTGATCTGCGTGCCACATCATGGACTTTTGTCCTAGCCCCAAAGAAATTTATCCCCACACTCCAAGCAGTAATCCGACCTGCGTTCCAGTGATGTGAGCTGAGGGTCTTTGTTGCATCTCCTGACATTCATGCAGGTAGCGATTTCGTAGATGCGCTGGAACTGGAACCTGAGGCCGGGTGGGTACCTTACGTTTGGGATTTTGGCTTCTGGGTTTGCTAGCGGGGAAAAGAGGCTTTGGTTTTGGGGCTTAGGTTTGCCTTGGGGGATTCCCATTTAAGGTTTCATAAGTTGTGTAGCTGCCTTCTATGTGGACTTCCGACTGTTTTACAGTGGGGGCCAATGGGTTTAGGGTTGGGGTTTAGGGCAATGATGGTCATGGACTGCCATGGGCCTGCTCAATATGCGCCTTCCCGAACTACAAGCCCGAACAGTCCCCAGCAATCGCAAATTGCATGATTTGTGTAAGTGCATTGGTGTAGAGTTCTTGAATGGCAAGTGGCAGAGTCCCGGAAGGGGCTTTTGTACTGAATTCGTTTTGGAACTTGCCAGAAAGTTGCATACCAAAAGCTTTAATTGAACTTAAACCGTGCTTCAAACACTTAGGAATCTTTGAGCTTGCTTTGTCGGATACTGTGATGCTGCAGGTTGGGTTCTGGATTGACCTCCTTTCTGCGCAGAGCAAAAGAAAAACACGACTTGACTGCGTCAAATTGTGTCAAATGCCGGTGATGCTCATGGTTTGGGTGCCCGCACTCATTAACAGCTGGATAATATCTGTACTATAGCCATATAGAGCCTTCATAGGACCCCTGTTACAGGTTGCTAAAATGGGTGGGGCATGACCCAGCTCATGATGCAGGTCCTCAGCCGTGATGATGCTGGTCCTGTTGTTTGTGGGGTGAAGCCAATTTGAGATGCAGCTGATCCTCATGGGTAGTTCCCAAGATTAGTGCCATTCTGGTACCCCTAAATATCACGTGCCGTAATATAATTCATGACCAAAGGAGTCCAGAATTTAGAGAACTACCCTCATGATGCCGGCGTTGGTGTAACCCAAAGAAAGCACAGGTGATTGGCAAGATTCTTGTTGGCGGGTGGTCGCTGCTCATAACGAACCCATGCCTGCATAGGAGTAGCGGGTTGGGTGCAATACGGCCTCCACCAAAGGAGACCGACCCTTGAGTTTTGACAGCCCCCAACTAATCTCTAAACCCTAAACCTTGTAACTCCGCAGGAAGGCTTGGCGCTGTTCTGGTATGGCAAAGTCCTAATCGAGCAGCAGCGGCATCAGGAGGAGCTTGTGAGGGGTTTGGGTTCGGGTACAACGGACGTTGTGTTTTTGTTGGGCATGGCGGCGTGGTCCCTGCACTCTCTCATAGTCTCATAGTGGTGGGAAATGAATACAATCCGAGATGTAATACATTCACCCCTATCGCGTGTGGGCACAAGTGCAATAGTTCTTAGTGGTCCGACTTGTAGGTTGGCTTGAATGAAGAGTTGAAGGTTGGGGGTTCTTGGAGTTGCCCCCGCAAGAATTTTTCGATCAAACGGGGTAGAGCGGGGCTTCAGTGGCCGGAGTTCATCTTGAATCCTTGAACCCCCACAAAGGGGAAGATTAGATGGTTTAGGATAACATTCGAAAGATTTGGCTGTCAGAGTGGCAGAGTGCAGGAGTCCGAGTTCAGGGGCCTAGGGATGTCTGGAAGGGGCGCAGCCCTGTACCGTAAACCGCAAACCCTAAACCCATTGTAGGGACCTTTAGGTCTAAGGGACACTCAACCTATTGCAGGGATCTGGTGGCTGTAGGGGCCTTGCAAGGTTTAATTACCTGGTGCCGTCTTTGGATCTTAAGCGCTAGGCCTATACGCCGGAATGGAGGGTCTGAGAAGTTTTTCTCCAGGCTGTCTTGTTACCCCACGCCCTATCTGGGGGTTTCGGAAAGCTAGGGGTACCATTTTGCGGTTCCCCATCATAAGGACTATGGTAGTTTGTTGGGGTCTACATTGGGACCCGCCATTGAAGGAAACTACCCTATATCCTAAGCTTACTCCCTAAACTTTGGGTACTGCCCGCCACTCATTAAGGAGTTGGATGGTGTTGGTCCTAGAACTACATACAGCCCTTAGTATGACCCCTATTATAGACTGTGAATGGGTGGGGTAGGACCCAACCTAAACCCTAAGTCCTAAACCCTGAATAGTAGCTTCCATTTTCTTTTCCATTATCCCTATATAAGCCTTGTACAACCCCTAAATAATCCCTACATAACCCCATAGTTTTGGGAAACCCCATTTGGGTAGTATCTTATTTGGGGATACTATGGTACCCAATATAGAGTAAGACTCTATCCTCCTTTTGGGGTATAGCATTTTATATCAGGATTGTAATCTTACTAGGTTCAACCACCACCCTAAATAACCCCCCTAAACCCTAAACCCTAAACCCTAAACCCAACCCTAAACCCAACCCTAAACCCTAAACCCTTTGAAATTCTCCTTCCAGGCTGTGTCCTACCTCCAAGCTTCCATCCAGTTCCACGAGCCAACGCGCACGGCCGCCCACGCCCTTCTTGGAGCCTGCACCTTGGAGGGTTGGGGCTTAGGGCTTAGGATTTTGTAGG